ATAGGCTAACCGGAGCCTTAGGGTTACCTATCGCTAATGAGCATTCATTTTTTTCGGGGCTGCCACGTTTGTGCTGCCAGCCTTCCAGCACATCCAATGTCGACGAATCCCCGCTTTTAAGCGACATCCTCGTAGACGCCTCCCCGAGCTGCCTTTAGAGCAAGCCGCCTGGCGTGAGCACTTGTAGCTCACAGTCGGCCCGACCTCGTGTGCACGGGGACATACGGGGGCCGTGTCTTGCGTTGAACGCCGGCGAGATAACAACGACGACGACGACTACTACAGTATTTTTGTGTTTCCGCCTGCACGACTCAGGCATCCAAAGCTACTCCGCATGCTTACGACAGCATGACTGCTTGCTTCGTTGCCTCTGTGCGGGTGCCGGCTACGACGTGCTGAACGCTCGATTTCGCAAGCGCATGCGCAAAAAATACATCCGTGGCACTGCAGCAAACGAGCCTCGTGAGGCTGTCACGCCGCGCTGCAGCAGATGGGTGCCCTGAGAGATTGGCACCCAGTATTGGGCACGTGTCCACTGCAGGCAGGGTAAAGCTATAAGATTCTCGTATGGACCTTCCTCAGCTGCAACACTACAGCTGATGGCTCGCATCACCTGCTGCGGGACATTCCCGACCGACTGGCGTGCCCCGCCCATGGACCGCGACTTCTCGCGAAGACGAAAAAATGCTGCCGTGTGCGTTTGCTCGCATCCTTGGGTCAGAGCCAATCGAAGTAGCTGCCGGCAGCATCGCCAGCCCGACGCGCAGTTGGATCTGACTTCGTCGCCGCAAGCAGCTGCGCCCCGGCGAGTGTCTCGCAGCCTTCATCGATTTGGTCACCACGCCAGCAGGGGCGCGCGCGGCGTTCCATGTCGTCGCTTCTTTCAGCGAGCTATACTTCCGGTGTTAGGGTTTCACAGGTTTGACGCTGCCAGAGTAATTAGCAAAATTTCATGGTTTGCCGGTCTGAAGCTTTGGGCTTTGGGATATAAGTTTTCGCGCCCGAGACGGAAACGATGTGTGTGTCTTGCGGGTCCTTGTGACATGGAGTGTCTATATTGGAAATGGCTGGTTTGGATGTGCTGTGATGCCAGTGATGTGTGTCGTGCGCGTTTGTTTGTGAATTCTCGAGCGTTTTCATGGGGATTGGCCGGCTTTGAAGTGCTATGATGCAACTGGCATATGTCTCGTGAGCATGCTTGTGAAATCGAGTGTCTACATGACGACTGGCCAGGATGCCATGTGTGTTTGGGACCCCGCAGTATACTGTCCCACCTGTCCACATCTGTCCACAATGCCCTGTCCGGTTCTCGATTGTCGCGCGGGACTTTGTGGAGATCTAATTATTGAGGGTTACGGAAGCTGGAGATTTGAGTAGTTTTCCAAGCCTGCATTCGCTCCATGATGCATCTATGAACCATGAAGGGTCTGGAGGCCTAGAAGCCAGATGGGCGTGGGAATCGGCAAGCCATAGTGAATTTCCATGAAATTCCCATCAGTGTGCCTTGGCACTTGGTCGGGAAGAGAAGAAGGGCACGGATCCAAAGAGTGAGGACGGACGTCCGCTGTTGACCAGTTAAGTGCTGAAACGGAACCGGATTGAGTCGACAGGGTTATTCTCGTGATGTATGCAAATCATTGCAGCTTATGGATTTGTTTGCGTTCTCGGCAGGGCACGAACTAGAGATAGCCGTTTTGAGATCCCACCTATCTCTGTAGAGCGAGCGGGTCTGACATGCAGCGGCACATTTCTTGCAGCAAGTTCCCACAGACTGACACCCAGGTTACCCTGCAACACTTCAACGCCACTCATCACATAACGCGCACTTCCAGCCATGTCTCGAACATTGCTGGCTCAGCGGCTTCAGGATTTGGAAGATGAGTTGCAGGATGCCTTCCACCGAGTTCAAGATCGGGTAAACGTCTTACGTCAAGACTTGGTTGAAGACATGCCTGCAGAGGTGGGGACGGTGGAAGAAGATGCCACCCAGGTTTCCGATTCGCCAAATCTGCTGGAAGACTGGCTGCTTAAGGAGGATGTTTTGTCCATACCCAACGAGGAGCCAACCACACTCTCCGGCGATGCGCTGCATCTCTCAGCCGAGATGTTGAGCGGACATGCTCGTTCATATTTGCGCTTGAACTCTCACCTGATGGAACTTTCAATGCGGGCGGCCGAAAGCGTAACGGTTTTCCGAAAAGAACGGATGAGCACTCTCAGTGTATCGCCCGTCGCCACTGTCAGTCCCCGGACACGCCAAATCCGGAATGTTGCAGCTCAGCTCAGCACAGAGCTAGAAAAGTGCGAGTCCATTTTCAAAGTGTTCCCGCCGAATTCAACTTTTCGGCTGATTTGGGATTTTTGCGGCATTTCCTTCATCGTGCTTGATGCATTCCTTCTACCTATGTGTATAGCATGGGGGTGGGAGATCTCACCGATGCCACCTTCTTCGCCGACCTTCGACAACCAATTGTTTCAGCTGTTCGCCATTGTTTCCTTGGTATTTTGGCCACTGGACATTTTGGTGAACTTCAACACTGCATTTTATACTCAAGGCCGTGTAGAGACTCGCCGATCCCAGATTGCTAAACGCTATGCTGCTACGTGGCTTCCCTTCGATATTTGCGTCGTGACGATTGACTACCTAGCCGGCTTGTTGGTGCAGGCTCTGAACCCATGGCTTGTGGGCTGTTTTGTGTCCAACCCTAATTTCATTGTCAGGATTCAATCAAAGCTATTTCGAAATCAGGATGTAAAGTTTCGGAATGTGTCAAAGGGCCGACAATTCTACAGTTCCCAGCGTCATCCGCCTTCGGCAAAAGGGTTGTTGATGGTTGATGTGGATGCGTTTCAAGCACCTGCCAAAACAACCTTTGATTCAGCTCAGTGATAACAGTCCCTGGGTGACTGTTTTGACCGATGGTTCTTGTTTCGTGCGCAGGCAACGGAGGAGCAAACCACGGACTTCTTGCAGCCGTTGCGATCTGCTCGATATCTGCGGATCATGCGTACAGTTCGCATTCTGAGGATCGTGAAAGCAGGAAAAATCAATGTGCTTCTGGAAAACTTGGTCATATCGTTGGGACGGCAATGGCTCATTCTGGCCTTCACTGTGGGGAAGATGCTGCTGGTCATTGGTGCAGTTGCGCATATTCTTGCATGCATTTGGTATGCATTGGGTGATACGATATCACAGGAAAGGGACAGCTGGTTGCAACTCGCCCAAGTCGGAGATGCACCCTTCCAGACGCAGTACATTCACTCACTGTCGTGGATTCTCCTTACACCTTCGCCTGCACCGCTGGAACCTGACAGCAACATCGAACATACAGCTGCCGGTTCCCGAGAGATTGGTTTGTGAGTGGTAGGACGGGGTAGGAAGTCCTGATTGATTACCAGTTGTCAAGCACCTGTACTTGCAGCAATGTCACCAAACAGAGCACTCATGTAGCACCTAAACTCTAAACCTGTAGCAATGCAGCAAGGTGCTTGTGCTTTTCGTGACGACGGTGCTGGTCATCGGTTCAGCCTTGTCTATTCTCACCGGCACCCTCAACGAGATCCGCCAGGTGAACAGCGAACGTAGCAAAAAGCGCCGAGAGCTGCGGATATTTTTGCAGAATCGCTTGGTGCCTACCGAGCTGCTCATGAGAATTATGAGTTATGCCGACTACAAGATGACCCGTCACTCGCCCATTGCTTACGACACCACATTGATATCGCCAATGCTCGAAGCAGAACTGGCTACCTCCCAATTCGGCTCTGTCCTGACAAGCCATCCGTTGCTTGGGTTCATCTCTTCCATGTACCCCTCCGTCTTTGCAGAATGCTGCCGATCTTTGCACAAGCTTTTCTTCTGCGAGGGAGAGGCCGTGTTTGACGAGGGCTCAATGGCAGAGAAGATGTACATCACCAGCCACGGCAAATTTAAGCTCACTGCCGATTCACTTCAAAGTGACGATGTGACCTTCGACGACGATGGTCAATACTTTGCCGAGATCTCTTTGTACGTTGAGGCGGTGATGCACGGATACAGTCTAAACACCGATTCTTTCTCAGAGGTGTTTTGTCTGAGCCCTGCCGACTTTGCAAAAGTGTTGGTCCATTCACCCATCTGCTGCACGATGGTGATTGAGTACGCCAATGAGTTCATCACCCGCTATTCTACCGGCCCATCAGCTACTCAGATCAGTGTTTGGCACCAGGTCGAACGGGAACAAGAGTGTGCCAGAGGCGCTTGCGAGTGTAATTCCTTCTACTTGGAGGAGCATCTAGGTTGTTCAGTCAAATGTTGGTTTAGTTGTTCGCATTTGGGTTCTCATCGTGTATTAACTAGCCTGATTACAGTAGTGGTTTTTCATCAGGAAGCTGATGGACAGCCTAGGCACGTGGACCACCGGCTGGACCTGGAAACTCTGGATTTGTCATACCTCCAAAACCCAGTGATTTCATCCATGACCGTTGGCATAAAACCCAATGATCCGAAAGCGAGTCCAGGTGGGGTGCGTCATGAAAAAGTGGAGCATCAAGATTTCTTGAGGATAAAGTGTTCCGGGCTATTTCCATTCCAGCCCACTCCGCCACAGCTGTCGTTTGACCCTTGAACATATTTCACATCCAGGCGAAAACGATTCTCAGCAGTCGGCATTGCCCTCGCCTGCGGTGCAGCTGCAGGGAGGAGTGCACGACGGAGTTGGCTTGACCTGCATGGACTTCGTCGCTTCGGTGGTTCGGAGCCAAGAGACGATCGAGGACACGCTCGCGAGTTTGCGCGAGGCCTTCGTAGAGCTGGACCCCGAGTACGGCCTCTTGGTAGCGCAGTTATGTAGGGGCCGTAGGGGTCGAAATAATTACCAATACTATTTTGGGGGGTTCCTTGTATAGTTAAAGTAGTTTTCTTGGGCCCCATCACCCGTTAGAATTTTAAGGGCCCATATTAGAGCTGTTAGTCAACCTTTAACTGGGTCTGGTTGGTCAGAATGGTCACCTTATTTCTTCCCCTGCGAAACCGGGCAAGTAAGGTCTGCATGCGAGGTTCTCCGACACCAAGGAGCAGGAGCGCGCTGAGTCTGCCATTCTGAGTCTCATCGCCATCGTGCGGGGCGATTACAGAATGTGCTCCAGAAGATTTTAAATACGAGGTTTCTTCGCGCGGGCGTCTATACATCTTTTTCGCATTAAGCCTAAACCCTATAGGCCCTAAGCTAACTTCGGCAGACGGAAAAGGGCAACTCAAACAAATATAAACCCCAATCGCCAAGCACAGACAAGGTATACAGCAGCGCAGCCACAGCAAAGTCGCCTTACCGAGTCTCAGTGGCAGCACATACAGGAGCTGTTCGCATGGACTGCTCCCAACGACGAGAAGCTCCTGGCCGTGATCTTCCTCTTGGCGGTCAAGGGAGCAACTAAATACAGGTGGGCGGGTTTAGGGTTTCGCATCTGCATTGTTGTTAGAGGTAGTGATCCCTTATTAGGAGTGCTTAGAGTAAGTGGCCGGAGCGATTACCCGCGTTATGTGAAAATGCGAGGTCACTCACGCGGCAGCTTCCAACGGGCTTGCATCGCCAGGAGAAGGCGATGAACTTCATCCTTGATACTTGGAGCCCGATTTGGGCTTTAGTAGTTTGGTGAGGTTCAGGGTTTAGGGTATAGGATGGTTGAATTGGTGTCGATCTGGGAATTGTTAGAGAATTTAGGAACTTAGGGAAAAAACTCAGTGCTTGGGTGCTGAATCTAGAACCCTGAAACCCGAAACCCAAAAACAGCAACAACTTTGCTGGCTCTTGACATCGACACTTAGGATACCTTCCCATCAGCAGTTCCGTCAGCCGCCAGATCCTCGGTTCAATCTTGGGCTCTCGTATTTCTGAAATATAGTAAGCCGTGCTTTTCTTTTTTTACTCTCTTGATCCTATTAAAACAGATATACTTACTGTGAACCATACCTCTAATGTCGTAAGCAAGACTGTTTCTTCCTAATGAAGGTATATATACCTATATATATATATATGTAGTTATAAGTTATAAGCCTTTTTCGGCCTAGGCTTGGGCAGCAAAGTGAAGAAGTTGGTTCGAAACCTCTTGAGGATGCAGGGTACCTTCAGCTTTGCCCAGATGTTGCAGGGTGAAAACGCTCCTTTGTCATAGTTGGGCAACGTTTTACATGTTTATGGGTACTTCAACCCAATAAGAAGATCCCAACAAGGAATAGAAGTTCAAGTTGTTGAATACCGGACCATGAACTAGGTGCCGGCCAACATCCGCGATCTGAAAGAAGCCATCCAACCGCATGGAGGTGAAGAGTTGCTGAAGTTCTACGTGCTCTATCTTCTTGGCTTCATGAGTGGCATCGCTGGTGGCAAGGGGTCACGTTTCATGACGCAAGGAAATGCAAGGACAACGCTTTTGGGCTTGTCAACCCTCCAGCACATCCTTGAACAAGATCCGGCTCCTTTGTATTGGACCTACATTCACTACCGCGGCTTGGAGCTCGGGAGGCACGCGAAGACCCCCGCAGACCTCGCTCTCCTTCGGCTTGCCTGCAATTGCCGGGTGCAGACCTCGAAGGATCTCGAAGCCTTGCAAGAAGCTTGGGATTTTCTGACTGGCCCAGAGCAGCAACAGCTGACCAAGAACTTGCTTGCGGACGGCATCGCAACGCGGGCAGTGGTGTGCGAATTCCTTCCGCTGTGTTTAGAGCGAGCTTGCTCCAATCCGTTCGTCAAAGTCTCCGCGCTCCTGCAGGTCCTCGTCGAGCTACTGAAGGCCTTGGCGGCTGAGTAGGTCGCCTTTAAGTTTTGGGGGCTTATCTGTTCTTACAACAAAAGGTTCGCCTTTTTTAGGGCTAGTACCCTGAGGGTCCCGGGTTGTTTTTTTTCCTAGGTCTGGCGCGGTCTGGGGGGCCTTGGTAGGTCGGGCCACCTGGTCCCCGGGTCCCCTGGCCCGCGACGACAACAACGATTACTATTACAACAACAGCAACAACGACTACAACTACAACAAGAACAAAAAACAAGAACAAAAACAACGCCAACAGCAACAGCAACAGCAACAGCAACAGCAGCAGCAACCACAACAACAACCACAACCCCAACCCCAACCACAACAACAAGAAGAACAACCACGACGACAACGACGAGGAGGAGGACGACGACGACAACGACATCGACGACACCAGAAAACAACGACACCAGACAGGAGCTTCGAAATTGTAATCCCCCGATATTCAGCCGCGAAACCAGGCCCTGCAAATGGTAGTTCGCCAACTAGCTTGATGCAAAACACAAGCAAAACAAGACCTGCAAATGGTACTTGCTCAATAGCTTGATGCAAACGCAAGCAAAATAAGACCCTGCAAATGGTAATTCCCCAATAGCTTGGTGCAAAACACAAGCAAAACAAGACCCTGCAAATGGTAATCCCCCATTAGCTTGATGCAAAACGCAACCCTGCAAAAGGTGATTCCCCAATAGCTTGATGCAAAACACAAGCAACAAAAAAACCCTACAAATGAGTTTGCTGTGTTTGCAGCCCAAACTTGCGAGCCAGACTTAGGAAAGCAAACCGGGGCTCGCCAGACTTAGGAAAAAAAACCCTCCGCCGCACCCTGAGGGCATGTGCACGGCAGCCCCTCCTCGAAAAAACATCGGCCCCTAAGCAGGCAGTCCATGCAGCTGCGGAGCAGGGAGACCTCATCGTCACAGTGGACCTGGCAGACCTGGCAGCCTTCATCCTCATGGTTCGCAACAGCTATGTCTTTGAGACGTGCCTGGCGCGTGCCACGCTCACGATGCGGGAAGAAAGATTTTATGTGGATGTTTCGCAGAATAATTGGCGAAGAGTGAGCGAACCTGCCACGGACGTGATCTTGCTCGCCTCATCTGTCCGTGAGCTCGTGCACAAGTCGAGGAAGTCAGATGATGCGAATCTTACAGCTGAACAGAAGGTTTTGGTGCAGTGCCACCTCTAGTCTCGGCTGCTTCGAGAGTATTGACTTGACAGCGGCTCTATGAAGGTGGCATCACACATTTCTAAGAGACCTTTATCCCTAATCTTCAAGGTTTCAGCGGAATTTGTCACCGATCGTTGAACATGCAGTGTCATTGGCAAAGCCATGGCCATCGTCTCGCGGAATTGTACAGTGATAGCAGTTTTTCAAAGCTCTGTTAAACAACGGAGCTGACGCTGCGCGTCTGTTGTATTCGCCAGGTCGGCAGGTGCAGTGCGCGTGCCGTGGGACCCAAAAGAGACGGGCTCCGTCGTGGACTGGCTCATGACCACAGGCACAGGCACTCTTGTGCAGCATAGAAGCTGCAAAGACGCGCGCTGTGTATTGGGAGTTGTCAGCTTGCGAAGTTCCTTCCCGGGACTCCCGGGCCTCCTTTCTTTCACGCCATGCTGATCTGGGCCGTCTTGTGCTATGCCAACACCTTCGTGGAGGTTTCGTCTCGGCTGTCCTTTGTAAGACGTTAGCAAGACTTGGTACTCTGCCTTCTGCCCAGAGGCTCAGGAGAGTCAGTAGATGCATGTGCACGAGGGACTTCGGGCTAACCTACTGTCTCGTCCAGGTGCTGATGGGGCTTGTTCTCTCCGCGAAGCCAGAGACCATGATCCTCGACCTGAAGACGGACTGCTGAAAGATGCCAAGTTATTGTTTTGTAGTTACACATCACTGTAACTATACCGGCAGTATGTGCAGGTTCGACATGTCAGACTCTGCACTCTGTAGCTGCAGTGTCAACCTCTGGATACTTGGCAAAGGCTCCGTGGTATCACTTTTCGAAAATCTACCCCAAAACCCGATTCCAGTTCTTAAGGCCCCCATACTATAGTTGCTATAGATGCTGGAGTCGCCGAGCATCTCCGAACTCCCAGAACCCTAAAACCCCAAACCCTAAACCCCAGACTCTCGAGCCCCCTAAACCCTTGTCCCTGAGAAGCTTCAGGCGTGACGGACTTGTGTGGATGCTTGCCTGCCTTGTGCGAGAGGGGAAACCCTGCTCCGCAGGAGAACCGACCTAGTCCAGCAACGCTTTCGGACAAGAAGTGGGGCTTCGCCTTAGGCTGCGGGCCTAGAGCGGGAAGTTACTGTACTGTACTACTATACGCTCCTATGCCATAACATGCTATACTGTATGATTCCCTATGCTTTTGTTCTATACCATGCTATAGCAAACTACACTATACTATACCATATTACACTATGCTATATCATGCTGTTGAGAAGCGACGTCTCCGCAACTGGAAAGCCGCAAAGCCAGATCATGACTGGAAGGCAGTGCACTTTGTGCGATCGGTGTGTCCACGTTCTTTGCACGCGACGCCACCTCGTGGGAAAGTCAGAAGGCCAGAGCCTTGCACAGGGAGCTGAACAAAATTTCCCACTCCACGCACATGTCAAGAGTCATTGTCAGTCGCGGCTACCTGCTCAATTCCGACAGGGCCCAATTTAGAAGTGCTAGGTCTGCAGAGTGCTGTGAATGTCGCCAGGCTGTATGTCTTTGCAATGCAACCTTCCACAGCTTGGTGGTCGCGCAGAAGGCAGGTGCGGGTCAGCGGGAATGCCAAACTTTCTCTTTCGGAACCACATATCTTACGGAAACTCCGTGTAGAGTAGACAGCCAAACTCCTGCAGTAGGTTTTGCTTCATTCTTGACCGAACCGGGCTGCGTGCATGCCTCGTTCTGTAGTGATGGGCGGAGCTGAGGACTAGGTTGATATAATGTAGACAAGCAATGCCCCGGAACTTGAGAGGCCAGGGCTGTCGTGGGCGGTGAAAAGCTGGACGTTCCACCGACTGCCGCTCAATAACAACAATGCGCAGTCAATCTCAGTCATGTCTTCCTTAGAGCGAAAGAGCGAGAGAGAGAGAGAGAGAGAGAGACAAACGTCTCAACATAGAAGCCTGCACCATAACATTATGTATTCCTCAGGGTTCCTTACAGCCGCTGTTTATGAGACGGTTTATCATTTTCCGGATCCTGCATTACCTTGAGGGCCCTAAACTATGGGAATTATGGTATATTCCTTATTATGGGTAATGCAGGATTTACATAGTCAACCGTACTAATCTTGAAAGGTGGTGAGGTAGCGACGGAGGACCCCTCAAACGCTCAGAGGACAGGCTGGAAGACATGAGCTGATGCCACTTAGGTGGTCGTCAAAATTATGGTCCCATGTTGGGTCCTTAAAATGATTTTGATAAGGCATCTAATATTTAGGGAGCCCAGAAAGGGACCCTAATTTTGACAACCACTCACTTGCAGGAGAGTGTGTGATGTTGCGCTGCCGAAACTGAGGTAATTCACCTTCCACTCGCTCTTGGCTTCATCCTCTTTGCCTTTGGTCAGATCTGATGCTGGGTTTATCCGACGCATGAGTGCGTAATCACAAACCAACATTAGAGTCGTTCAGAGTTCAGAGGTTTCTGCTGCTGACAGCATCCATGCACATCGTGATTGATCAGACACAGCTTTGCCTCGAAAGGAGGCTTTGATGTATGGGATCCGTTTCCCGGGGCTCCGGCTAGCCATATCCCGTGCAAAGAAGCTATTTGCCATTTGCCAATGCTCTGAATCAGGACGGCAGTTTCTGCGGTGCTTGGCGCCTTTGTCCACTGGTAGCTCTATGTGATTGCGGACGCTTAGTTTGCGTCACACAGCCGCGCCATCCGACTCGGAAGCATGCGCTTCAAATCTCGCTGGATGCCACCAACGTTTAGTTCTGAATTGCAGCAGTGCTTGCCTCCTGCTCCACGTCCAAGATGATGCAGGTACCTCCGTAATCATGGTGTGTTTCCCTGCCCTGCCTGGACCATGTCAGGCAGGCAAACCTTAAGCAGCGTTTCGGTTCGCAACATGAACCCCTTTTCTCCTTATGCTGCCTGCACACATGGCCGTTCTTGCATGTCTCCTGTGCACTGATGCCATGGCCAGCGCAGCGTGATGAAAGAGGAAGAGGTGCCAACTCTAGTCCATGGCGCATAAGTTGACACATCTCCCTGAACCCCTAAACCCTAAACCGCAAACCGCGCAAAGCGAGTTCCGAAGCGTAGGACTCCTGAGCAGTTGGACGAAGGTGCTTTTAGAAGGCCGACGATAGGGGCCTTAATAATTAGAAAAGGGTCTTGGGGTATACTATACTATATCTAACAAGTACTATTATGGTGCCATCGGTTAGCTAAGAGACAGCTCGTCAGGCTTCGATGCATGTAACAATGCGGCTAGTTCTCTAACTTAGGGTCTCTTTTAGGGTCATGCTTTTTTGCTTATACGGGTGCCGAAAAATGGAGCTCAGTTCAGAGAACTACTCCTTTACCTGAAAAGGCTTTGGCTTCCTTGATTTTCGCTTTGCACATGGTGAGGCCGAAGCCGAAATGGCGGCGGCGCTTCAGGCTGGTTGCGGCTGGTGACTCTATGATGTAGTCTGCTGTGAAGTCTACATCGAAGCTAGCTGCTTCACGCCACTGTCAGGGCTGATGGGGTTTATGGATGTTTATAGCGGGTTATAGCTCACGGAACCCTAAAACCCTAAACCCTAAAACCCTAAAACCCTAAACCCCAAACCCTAAACCCTAGGGCATCGCTTTGTGTGCTGACAGGCTCAAATCCGAAGCCTGGAGCAAGCGGAGCTGTCCCAGATGCGGCAAGGCCTTGCTTCCGAACATGGCTGCGTTGCGGGCAACCGCGAAGCACTGACAAGTATGCCTGTACATTTCACCAAAATTGCAACCCCGAAAAACCCTAAACATGCAGCAGGCTGACATGTAGCAGCTTCACAGAGAGCCCTAAACCCTAAACTCGGGAGGCTTTAAGCATTCCGATAAGAATCCTCAATGTGCAGGACGTGGTG